GATCATCACATTTGAATAACATTTGGTACATAAATGCTCTAGAACAATGACATAATAATTCATAAATTTTTTTGTTCTGTTCTGTTCATAATAGTTACCTGATTTACATAACTAGTTTTCAGCTTTTCAATCAATATCTATATAATTTTTAATGTGTCTTCAATACTCTCAGCACACGGGAGTTCTTTCTAAGTTTTCTTCGATTTTGTTTTGTTTTTCAATATTTACTGACACTCAAAATACAATGAAAAGATCCCAATTATATATTGCAACCTTGTTGGGTACATTTAACTTTTGCATTTATAATTTATTTCTAGGTGTTTGAGGAAGATGCACTGTCTTGGGAAGAGAAATTGAATCGTATTAATGCCTTGTTTGATGTGTGGATTGATGTACAGAGGCGCTGGGTCTACTTGGAAGGTATATTCACTGGTAGTGCTGATATTAAACATTTGTTGCCTGTTGAAACACAGAGATTCCATAGGTAAGTCATAATAATCTTAGTATTTTCAGAATTGAGTGTAAAACCTTTTAAACAGTTAAAAACTTCCCATTTATTGACACAAATTTTCTTCCAAGCTATACTGTAAACACTTTAATCATTCACTGATTTTAGTATGCTGATAAAATAAAATCACTAAATTAATCCATGTGAACATGAAAAGTAACATTAGCACTCGCTGTTTTCGCGGCGAAGTTGTTAAATTTAAAACCCAGCACTTCCTCTCCCTTTCATAGTATCAGATATGCTCATAGTGTATGAACATAATAAGTTGTATTTCAATATTTCAGAATACAATAAATGCAACTAATGGTTTACATGTACTTAGATGTGTTTCTTAATACAACAAATATGATAGTCAGATATGTTGAAAAATGTTCTTGTAGTTGACACCAAATCAGATTTGACTGTTGCTTGACATCTGTGTGATTTGCCATTTCTATTAAAAGCAATTTGTTGATGTATTTCTAGATCTTGTGGTGTTCTAAAATATCATTGAATGCCATGAGTTTTAAGTGAAGTTAAAGCATTTTCCCTTTAACAGTATAAGTACAGAGTTCTTGGCTTTGATGAAGAAAGTTTCCAAGTCACCATTAGTATTGGATGTGTTAAATATACCTGGTGTACAGAGATCTCTGGAAAGATTGGCTGATTTGTTAGGAAAGATACAGAAAGCACTGGGAGAATACTTGGAAAGAGAAAGAGCGTCCTTCCCCAGGTATGTCACAAAATGCGAATAGTGGCATAAGGCAAGAATGAATTCTAAAATGAGCAACTGAATGGAAATAAAAATACTGTAGAACAGTTTGAAAAAAATATTGTTAAGTATTGATTATTGTTTAAGGGCATATTATATTTTGCAAAATAACAAATTAATAAACCCTGTGCAGTGTACTACTTCTAATACTGCTTGTATCTCTCTTCAGATTCTACTTTGTTGGTGATGAAGATTTGTTGGAAATTATTGGTAATAGTAAGAATGTTGGTAGACTTCAGAAACATTTCAAGAAGATGTTTGCCGGTGTTGCTACATTGCTCTTAAATGAAGATAATACTGTTGTAAAAGGTATTGCATCCAGAGAAGGTGAAGAGGTAAGTACACACATGTATGTCGCCACTTAGTTGTACATTAGGACTGTTTCATTTTATTACTGTAAATGGCAACAAGTTATCTTCATTGAGTAGACTATGCCAATACAGCCCAGTGGAAGGTACTCACTTAATGACTGATTGTTTGTATTACAGGTATATTTCAAGACTGTAATTAACATCAAAGAGAACCCTAAAATCAATGAGTGGTTAACGATGGTTGAGAAAGAGATGCGTGTGACACTAGCTAAGTTGTTAGCTGATGCTGTGAGTGGTGTCTCGCAATTCAAGGATGATAACATTGATGGGAACAAGTACATCTTGTGGGTTGATCAGTATCAGGTAAATATAATAATAATTTTTAGTCCCCGTTCCGACGCAGTCCGAAAACGGGGACTTATGTTTTGACCTGCGTGTGTGCGTGCGTCTGGACCTGTATCTTAGAAATGCCTGGGCAAATCGCAATCAAACTGATTCAAGATGGCCGAAACAAGCATTTCTCGGCTGTTTACAGATGGATTTTGTTCAAATTTGGTATATACGTTAGACATGGGACCTTGATGCAAATAATTTTCTTTTTCAGATAAGATTCAAAATGGCCGACTGGCGGCCATTTTTGTGCTAAAAAAATCATCAAATATCAAGCATTTCTGGATGGATTTCGTTCAAATTTGGTACATACATTAGACATTACGGGTTCCTGATGCACGTCATTTTATTTTTCCAATTGCATTCAAAATGGCTGACTGGCGGCCATTTTGTTTTAATAATTGGGCTTCTAGAGTCATATCTCTGAAATGCTTTGACTGATTATATTCAATTTTTTTATATTTGTTATACATCATATTATATATATATACATGTATTCAAAATGGTTGATTTTGAATGCTGTTCCAGAGCAATATCTCTCAATATGGACAAGTACTTTTTTGATGATCAGATACAAATGTCAATCATTTTAATGTTAAAAAAATCATATTCCTGGTTATATTCCAGCTATATTACTATAAACAAAACTATATATCTTAAATTTGATAACTAATGAGGACTGTGCCATGCATGGCTTGTTATTATAGCCGTAAAGAAATTACAATTACAGTAATTTATTTTTCTTTGTCATGTTGATATTGTGTAAATAACTGTGTAGTAAACCTGGTGCTTGTTTTTCAGTAAAAGCATTGTTTATGTATCTGATAATGTCTAAGCATTTAAGCAGAGATGGCTTTGTCGTTGTTTGAAATCATTTTCAATTTGTCTGTGTTCTGTGTTGAGAAATTATTGTAAATTCTGTTGAATTGTTCATAAAGTTCCTGTCTATCATTTGTATATATTTGACAGTGTATTATGGAATGCATTTCATCTTCTGCTGTTTTTACATATTTTTCAAAGTCTTTCATCAGCAGCTGTTTTGGAACGTGTCTTTCTCACAATTTAAATTTTTAGACTATAGCAGCTTAGTCTTAGTTTGCCTAATGTTTTAATATCTTGATATTTGTTATAATGTTTAAATAAGGTACACTTTTAATTGTATGATTTAAAAGTCTGTATGTGCGCGTATTTTGAGTTTTCTCTATTGTTGGTCTCATTCCAGGTCTTTGTTAATTTTTCTCTTGATATGTCATGGAATATATCAATGTAAGTACAAAGGTATGTACAGGGAGACCACTATCAACTATTGCATTTGTCAGAAAGTTATTAAGTCATATTTAATTTACTCTATAGGCGCAGTTAGTGGTGTTATCAGCTCAGATAGCCTGGTCTGAGGGTGTTGATAAAGCGTTGACAAACACTGAAGGCTTAAGTAATCCATTAGAAGGTGTCTTGAAGACTGTAGAAGCAACACTCAATGTATTGGCTGATTCTGTACTACAGGAACAACCACCAGTGAGAAGGAAAAAACTGGAACATCTGGTGAGAATTAAACCCATACAGTACTCATTTCACCCAATCTCCTGCCTGCTTTCGCTTTTCAATTCCTTTTTTTTGCTCGCTTTTGCTTTTTTAAATCGACTGGACAATTTCTGCTTTATTTTAGACCACACCAAACCCGAAATATCACCGCTCGCTCGCTCGTGTTTAAATTTGGGACTGCCAAACAATTTCCGAGGTTCACATTGACTTATAATTGTCTTTCTCTGATTTTCATAGATGTTGAACAGCCGTCATAGTTCAAATACTTTTTGTTGTAACTATGATTATGTGCACGCAATCTGACCCTTTGACCTAGATTTGGCTGGGATTGAATATTTTATATTAAACAATATTCTGACATGATGCACTGCTACAAAATGAATTTCAACACAAGTACCACATGGTTGTCTGGGTTTCCTTTCTTGGATTTTGTTTACGATTTGTGTAGTTGTTGTTTTCTTTCAAGGCGGAGGCAAGCCGAATGACCATGAATGGACTGAATGAAAGAAAATATTTCTAAGCCTAAAATAAAACCTAATGTCTCTTTGTGTATCTGTCAATTTTGCATGTTTGGTATGACCGTGTCCCAATAATATTTGGAATATTGATCCCTGTTGGTTTCTCCATACTGAGTTTAGGACTGGCGTTGGTCCAGACGTTCGGCATTCAACACAATCAGCCGAGACAGGACAAACATTGACCGTAATTCATGGGACCATGTCCCGTAATTTGTGGTCTGAAACCCCAAATAATTAAACAAGTATTACCTTGAAATAGAAAAAATAAAAATTTGAAGAGCATCAGGGAATATATTGATAACCATTCTTAGCAATCGCTAGCTTTATTTTATTCCAATCCATAAAATTCATGACTTGGCAACTTTCACACTAAAAATGATTGAAGATGAGGGTGTGGTTCTTCCGCAAAGCCCTGTTGATAATACTGTAGAATACTTTATTTTCGCTTGGAATTTATTTTCGCTATTTTCGCTGAAGGGATGATTCCGTGAAAATAAAATCCAGCGAATATACTTTTTTTGCCTATATTTCCCATTAAACTCATCAGAAATCAGTGAAAATAAATTCCATACAAAACGCCCAAAAAGCCTTTTCAGCGAAAATTAATTCCAGCGAAAATAAAGTATTCCACAGTAAGCTAATTGAAGGGTCGTCGTACCTTCCAATCTCTGGCGTTGATTCACAGTTATTTTGTGCTGTGAAACGCATCAAAATTATTCACTGAAAAACATCGGTATCTTTTTACAAAAGGGTGGGATTTGACCTCAGTTCAAAAAGAAAAATACATTTAGTATTCACAGCAAATCAGTTTTCTTTGCAAGTTGTGAAATAAGGTAAACTAGAGTAGGGGTGATTTTCAGTATCGAAGGACTTCCGTGTGAATCCTGATTTTCAAATTGTTCATCGACTGGTCACCAAATATTTACGGCTACGACTAAATTTGACATGTTTTTTTCTGAAGCCCAATAAATTATTTATGCATGTCAAGCTCTGTTCGGCTTTTTCAGGGCATGTGGCCAGTTTTTATTCAAAACTATTTTTTGAAAATATTTTTACGGTACGTATAGTTCGAGCTCAGTCACTGATCGTGAGTTAAATTTTGAAAATTGGATGTCAAATTTTACCAGAGTGACCGACTGCCTGTTGACCGAGGTGGTTTTGATATTGTTATTTTTGGAATTAATCAATAATATTTTCCTAGTTTCTCCACTTTGTCAAAAGGAATTAGCTATGCTTTTTTCGCGTAACTGTCCCATTAAAATTAAAAAAAATATAACATTTAGAATAAGCACCCCAAATCACGTAACAAGAGATCGCAGTTCAGTTGCTTTTGCAAACAATACAAGTGTCAACAACAATTAGATTTGAAGTGTTGCTCAGAATTCAATAATAGTTAAAGGGTGGTGTTGTCGCGCTGCGCATGTTCGACATTTGTGTTGATGAACATTGATTTTCCCACAATCTTATGCACTCTTCAAATGGAAATCACAAGTATGAGGTTTGACCTGGGCGCGACTTGCACTGATTACCGCCGGTGACTCTTTCGAAACCTTCCAATCAAATGAAAATTACCCAATTAAAGCTTGGAAATGTGTCAGTTTGCACTCGTTGATCTGCGCAACAGTCAAAGTCGCCATCTTTGTTTATATGAGACCCATATATCTTGCACGACTACCGCGCTTTAATACTAGTTGTATCTTCACACTTTACCATCAAAACCACCATTTCAACCACTCATGTGCCAGTGATCAGTGTCCTGGCGAACGGTCTGTGTTTTCAATGAGCGAGCAAAATAAGGTGATTAAAATTAAGTCTATTAAAAAGCGGTAAAAGCGGAAGGTTTGGCGAAATGAGTACTGTAATGCTGTCTTATATTTAGATACATGGGATATTTGAGTATGCACCTTGGAGTGGGTTGGTGTCATTGAAAGACTTAAATTGGGTTTAGCAACATAATATGGTTTGATGTGAAATTGGTATAATGCATGGACTAGGTGTAGAGTAAATGGATTTAGCATTGAGTCAGTGTAGCGTAAATGGGCTTAAAATGGAATAGGTGTAGCATGCATGGGTTTTGCATGGAATAGGTATAGTGTAAATGGGTTTGGCATGGAATAGGTATAGTGTAAATGGGTTTGGCATGGAATAGGTATAGTGTAAATGGGTTTTGCATGGAATAGGTGTAGCATGCATGGGTTTTGCATGGAATAGGTGTAGCGTGCAT